AAGTTTTAAAAAGTGCTAATTTAAAAATCAAATCGACGCGTGTAGATTAACAAAGATTTTCTACAATTAGAAAGACCGGTAATTTTAAATTTTAAATTTTAACAAGCAGTGTAACAACTACGTGAGTGATACACACCTGATGATGGCCATTTAGGGCCGAAACATGTAGTGTGGAGGAGGAAAAGAAGTAAAAACTACAATAAAATTTGTTGCACTTAAGACGGTATTTATCCATATATAAGGTAGAAATCACTTGGGGCCAAATCAGGACTGTACGGCTGATATGTCAGAAGGTTCAATTTCAATTTCTGGAGGGTTCCCATTGTTGTTTTGGCCATATGGGGGCGTGCATTGTCTTGAAGGAAGGCTACCCGCTTCCCAACTGTCTTCTGCCTGGATCGGAACTTTTCCTTCACATCTGTTGCCAGGAGGTCTGAATAATAAGCTGCATTGACTGTTCTGGCATCTGTCAGAAAGTCTACATGGATAACCCCTTGCCAGTCCCAGAAGGACGTTGCCATCACTTTTCCTGCCGAACGGCTCCTCCGTGCTGTCTTGGGTTTGGGAGAACTGGTACGCCACCACTCGCGTGATGACTGCTGGGACTCGGGAATGAAGTAGTGCACCTACGTTTCATTGGTGGTCACTATAGACTTAAAAAATGCATCACCTTCGACTTCAAACTGCTGTAGTAGATGACTGGCAGCTTGCATGTGCACCATTTTGTTCACGTCTGTCAAAGTGCGTGGTACCCACCATGCATTCACCTTGTGATAGTGCAGGTGGTATTTCACGATGTCGCATACACTACCAACACTGATGGACAGCATTGCTCCAAGTTCTTTGATAGTGATGCGCCTATTCTCACGAATAAGCATGTCTGCACGATCAATGTTTGGCTTGGTGATGGATGTTCGCTGCTGATGATCATGCAGTTCATTCTCCACGCACTCTGTGCCCTCTCTGAAGCACTTACACCACTCAAACACACGGGTCCGTGAGAGACACTCTTCCCCATACTGTTGTTGGAGTCTGTGATGAATTTCAGCGGACAGGATGTTTTCTCCAACAAGAAATTTGATCACAATGCGTTGTTCCTCGCTCCACGGTACCTTCTGTTCGCTCATCACTCTAGCATCACCCAGACAGGACTTAACAGGTTCTAACCTGAACAGGAGGGAGGCTGGAGGTTGTGGCTTCACTCTCTCAAGGTCGCACAGCTGCTGTGCAGTGTGGTTTGTTTACACACAAATCAGTCCCGGTCATATTTGTACCACCTTGTATGAAGGAGATTTTGTATTGTGTTCGGGGAGATCTTTTTCTAGGATTAAAGTGGCCGGTGCATGAAGCTGACCACTCACCTGCAGCTAGTGCCTAAGTCAAGAAAATGTGGATGTATACATCCACACTCCCATACTTCTTCATGGCATACTGCTTAATTAGTTAAGCTCAGGGACAACTTCAACTATACCTTGGGAAGGGAACTGCCAACCAGAACATCAGTTTAAAAGTTGTAAGTCAACATAACCTTAGAATTGGAGGGAATAACAGTCGTCATGAAGTACTTGAACATATTGTCGCGTATCGGGCGTATAACGCGACAAATAACTTCACGATGTATTTGATGTAGCAAATTTTATTTCACATTCGCACTTACAATCACCCAATTGACAGTTTTACAATTACTGCTATCTGCAGTATCACAATTAGTACACTCCAAATGCCACAATACAACTGGCTGGTTGCTGGCTAACTCGGAACTCGGAACTCGGAACTGACTGACTCAGTACAACTCAAGTCGCCGACTGCTACAGTAGAACTCGCCGGTAGCCACATTAGAACTGACTCGTACCAACTGTGCAGCTCACTTATATAGCTGCAGTGCTTGCTTGTTGCGTAATGAGTGCCACGTCATCCTGTTACGTCACCGCTGTTGATTCGCCTTGCATAGTTACCTGGTTACGGGGCTCGGCTATCTTTGGCTCCGCTCGGCTCTCTTCGGCTCCGCTCGTGACGTCACCGCGCATAGCTGCCAGGATGCGGGGTGATTACTCGCCTATTACGCGAGCGTTACGTTACTGCTGAGGGGTGGGAGGGGAGCGCTGACTCACCCACCGCGTCACTGCTGGTGTGGGGGGGGGGCTCGGCTTTGCGCAACATGTCACACTATGAAAGACAGTCTAAACTTGAATGGGATTTGTGTTTTATGCAAATGAAAGGTGTTTGTGCTTCTTTTCTTTTTCTAAATGTGTTTTGACTGGCATAGTGTACCTAGACATGGAGGACATGTTATGATTGTTTTGGAAAGAAAAAGGGTCCTGATGATAAGGGTTTCCAACAGGATGGATTGCTTTCACATTTTCAAAAGAAAATGATGGACTTTTTAAATTAAAAATTTCCAGAGAAATTTATTGGCAAGGGTTGGACTTTGACTACCTTGTTTGCATGACCTTGATATTTTTTTTTGGAGGGGGGGTACTTCAAGGTTGCTATATATGTGCCACCACTGGCTACCACTTTTCTGGGAGGATTACAGATGCAATGGTAACAGTTACCCTTGACTTGCTTAATAATGAACTGAAATTGAATACAGGTGTGATACCTGCCAGGCCACTCAGTGCCCACATTGAGCGTCTGAAAAATGTAATCACAGAAACTTGTTCATATAACCTACTGAGATGTGTTTAGTTTTCTTCCTTGTGCCTTTCTCTTCTTGCATAATGTTACAGTAAATTGATGTACATTTTGTACCCTATATATATGTATGTGCTGGAAGTGGTGAAGATTTGTTCGTTAAGTAGCACTTGTAGATTATCCTGTTGTAATCATAACTATTTTACTTGGTAGTATGAAATGTCTCACTCAAAGCATTCAGTACCTTCCTGTTTGAAGTAAGCTGCACTACACAAACTGTCTCATTACTGTCTCTGCTCTGTGTTTTTACCTTGCAATATATTTTCTGGTATGCAGGAAGAAACTGCAGATTTCTGGCTTGTATCTGCTATTAAACATGGCTGTTGCTGGCATGGTGGTTTGGTTATCTGTCAATAGACTTGTGGCTTCCTCTTTTAGCAATTCTTCATTGATCATACAACCAAGACGACAACTTTCATAGATCCCCGTGTGCCGACTGAATCCCTGTACCTGAATCCGCACAAGTTTATCTTGCCTGGGGCCCGGAGGAGAAGCAGGAGTGCGGGTGAGGAGGAGCTCAACCACTCCCGAGTAAGTTGCTCAGCCCTTCCCTCTCCCTGAGTGAGATACTTTCCATGTAATACACATAGTTATTCTTTGCATCTTAGGTATTGAAAAAGATGCTGGAATGTAATACTTTGACATAAGAGTATTATAGAAAATTACAGTGGAACCTCGCTTAACGAGCACCTCTCATAATGAGTAATTCACATAATGAGCAAAACAAATTGTAAAAAAAATGACTCGCTTAATGATCGACCTTTCGCATAACGAGTGACGAGAGGGGAAGTCCCGGACTGTGTGCTTGCTACCTCAGTCTGTGTTTAGCACTCATTCCGCTAGCATCTTAGTGTCGCTTGTGATCACACATTTTTCCAAACTTGTGTTCAGACATATTATTTGTGATTTTTTGTGTGCAGAGTTTAATAACCCTTGCAAAAATCTCCCAAAGAAAAAGCCGCAAAAAGACAGCCATAAGAGAATAAAAATAACCATAGAAATGAAACGTAAAATCATTGAAAAGCGAGAATGAAGTGTGAGCGTGGCTGATCTAGCACGCACATACCATCGGTCTACATCAACGATTTGCACGATTTGGAGTTGCATTGTGTTTCACAGCAAGAAGTTGTGGAGGAGAGTTTGTCAGAGGAGGAGGAGGAGGAGGAGGAGGAGGTAACAGCAAAGCAACAATCTTCTGGTGCAATAAGAGAAATGCTGAAAGCATGGGGAACTGTTGCATCATACATTGAGAAGCTTCACCCTAATAAGGCAGTGGTTATGCGCGCTACAAATTTATTTAATGATAATGCTGTGTCGCATTTTCACCAAATTTTGAAGCGTCGGCAAAAACAAATGTCTCTAGATAGCTTTCTAGAAAAAAAGAATTAGATATGTATCATAAATAATAAACTAATTATTTCGATTTTTTTTTTGTTTTCTGCAAATCGAAGTCGCATTCCAGGTTGGTTCATTCTGCATAGAAGAAAAGATGAAAATGATTCACGCTCCTTAACAATGTATATATAATTTTCTTTGAATAAACATTATACGTAAAATTTTTTGAGTATTTTTTTTTGGCATGGAACGCATTATCATATTTTACATTAATTTATATGGGAAAAATTGTTTTGATTAATGAGTGTTTCACATTACGAGTAAGATTCTGGAACGAATTATACTCGTTAAGCGAGGTTCCACTGTTTAAATATTGAAACATATAGAAATGTTCCATGTCAGCAAGTGTATGAACATCTTTATACCAATCAGGGTAAATCAGGGTTAGGTTTGACAACTCCTTGATAAACTATTTAAAAAGTATAGCAAATAGGTTAGATTAGCAATTTCAAAACTCCTTTTTGGTCCCTTCACCTCAGAAAATACTGAGAGAGTTCCAACTTCAAAACAAGAAGCTTAGAATGTGAAAGGACATATAATAGGGTTATTTTTATGTGTTGCAAAATGGGAAAGACAAAGGAGATTAAATATTTATGGGATTACTGAAAGTGATAGGCCCGGTCACAAATCTCTGAATATTGGGAATCGTTCTTCTTCTCTTCTATGGCGCAACAGCCCGATGTTGGGCCTTGGCCTCCCTTATAAAGCCCCTCCATTCCTCTCTATCCTGCGCTGCTTTCTTCCAGTTCCTTTCGCCCATTAACTTCTTTGTATCTTCTTCCACCACATCAGTCCATCTAGTTCTTGGTTTCCCAGCACGTCTCCTACCACCTGACACACAAGATAGTACAATATATCAGAAATGAGGAATAAAAAGAGATAAAATTCTTGGTAGAAAAATGACTGTGTCAAAATAAGGACCACAGTTTAGTACACTTTGGAGTTGATCAGTAGTGTGTAGTTTTAGCATGTTCTTATGTAAGTTGTTTTTATTTGCATCCTCTGTACTAACATTAGTAAAAATTTTTGAAGTATGTGCCTTGGTAATCCAAGTAAACAAGTTTTCATGAATTTCTTCTGGTAATGAGTAACAAATCACATGAGATTAAAATTTTGAAGCCCTCTGGATTTAAAAGTGATGGCAAAGTCTGATAGTCTGCTTTCCTGAGACCAAGTAAGTGACTACTGGGGTATGGGACCCTTTCCTACCCTGTTTAAAAATCATAATCATTGTGATTTTTGTCATCTTTCCATAAACTTTGCAGATGAACTGTGGAAACAAGAAAACAGATATTCCTCGTAATAGCTTAGCTCCCAGTTTATTTACTTAATACGTGGGGCAATCCAAAAGTTTCTGAAATTTGAATTTTGTGCGCGAATGGTTATGAGTACATCGAAATACCACTAGATGTCTCCTAACACATCCTTCTTGAATCAGTGTGGCAAGCGGCGTCGAGTTGAGTGGTTGGGTTTATTGTTGGTGAACGTATTTCCATTGTTGTGTTTCTGTGAGTTTGCGGTTTTGCGATGGCTGACCTGAGAGAGCAGCATGTCTGTATAAAGTTTTGTTTCAAACTTGGAAAACTGCTGCAGAAACGCACCAAATGTTGAAGCAAGCTTTTGGTGAAAACGGTTTAGGCCAGACACAAACTTACAACTGGTACAAGCGTTTCAAAAATGGCTGAACATTGACTGATGATGACGATCATTCGGGATGGCCATCAACGGCCAAAACACCAGAAAATGTTGCGAAAGTTAGGGATCTGATTCTGCAAGATCGTAGACTGACCATCCAAGACCTCTGTAACACCTTGGGACTAAGTTATGGTACATGTCAACGAATTTTGTCAGAGGAACTGAACATGAGGTGGATTGCGGCGAAGTTTATGCCATGACTGCTGCAAAATGAACAGAAGCAGCATCGCTTGGAAGTCTGCAGGGAACTTCAGCAACAGCTTCAAGAGGATCCAAACTTTCTTTCGAAGGTTGTCACTGGTGACGAAAGTTGGGTTTATGGCTACGACCCTGAAAGCAAGCAGCAATCATCGCAATGGAAGAGCCCTTCTTCACCTCTGCTAAAAAAAGCTCGACAAGTCAAGAGCAACATTAAGTCCATGTTGATCTGTTTTTTTATATTGACGGGATTGTTCATAAGGAGTTTGTCCCTGCTGGTCAGAGAGTCAGTAAAGAGTTCTGTCGCGATGTTCTAAGGCGTTTGAGGGAGAACATCAGGAGAAAACATCCAGAGAAATGGCGCACGAACGACTGGGTACTCCACCATGACAACTCATGACCGCATACGGCTTACAGTGTCCAGGAATTTTTGGCTAAAAACAAGATGGCAGTTGTTCCCCTCCCACTGTACTTGCCAGACTTAGCTCCATGCGACTTCTTTCTCTTCCCCAAGATGAAAATCAAGTTGAAGGGGTGAAGATTTGATACAGTTGAGGAAATTCAAGCGGAAATGCAGACGGTACTAAACACCCTAACAAAGAAAGACTTCCAGGATGCATTTGAAAAGTGGCAGAAACGCTGGGATCGGTGTATGTGCTCCCAAGGGGACTACTTTGAAGGTGATGGTGCAGAATAAGATCTAGGTAAGATGTAATAGTTTTTATTAATATATTTCAGGAACTTTTGGATTGCACCACATATAAAAGAGAGGACACAATGAAGTTGTTTATGTGTCCAACAGACCTTCATCAACTACAGTGAATAAATGTAAATGATAACATTTATTAATTGTATTTGATAAATATTTGTTGGATAGGTAAATAATTTCTTTGAGTAATTGAATTCATGTGGTATGGAACAGCTTAAGATCATAACAGAGAATGATACCTGTCTGTTGTCTTTTCTCTGGTTTTCAAATGAATTTCAGCCCGATCCACATATAGTGAACTCCCTATTATTTGGCATGTATGTGGAATGGGGTGTGCTGCATACATGAGTCTGCCAGTTGCTTGAAACAACTCTGAGAGATTGACAGATACTGAATACAATGGTAAACAACATTTTATTGAAGAAAGCCGTCTTCTGGGTTTAGGCGCCGTGTATTCTTCGTTTTGGCCGACGTTTTGGAGGATCGTGTCGCCTCCATCTTCAGAGCAGTTGAATGGCTTGGAATGCAGAGAGCAGTAGCTGTAGTGATAGGAAGTGAAAGGTGCTGCTATATACGAAGTAGGTGGGGGGGTAGGGAGAACGGACCAATAGGAACAATGGAGAGCGTTTAAGGCCATATATGGTGTTATGTGCAGGGGGGGGGAAAGGCCAGTGAATCCAGGAAACTTCAGGTCAATAGCACTAGGAAGTGCGGTAGACTAGAAGAACCGTTAGGTTGTGGACAGGCTACTGACGTCAATGACATGATTACAGGGGACAGGCTACTGACGTCAATGACATGATTACAGGGGACAGGCTACTGACATCAATGACATGAAGAACTGGTGTGGCTTGTTGGATTTCTCTTGAGGGAAGAGATGAGAGGCTTCCATGACTTGTTGAGACTGAACCCTGTTTCCTTGTTCATGTTGTTCGGATGGAGCTCGATCTCAATGGCCTCCATGATTATGCGATCCAGGTAACGGCTCTTACTGGTGATTATGGCGGTTTTGTGAAACTGGATACGGTGGTCTAGCTCGATGCTGTGTTCAGCTATGGCTGACTTGTCCGGATGTTCTAATCTAGATGCCGTTGATGTTCTTTCAACCTGGTGTCCATGATTATGCGAACCAGGTAATGGCTCATACTGGTGATTATGGCGGTTTTGTGAAACTGGATACGGTGGTCTAGCTCGATGCTGTGTTCAGCTACGGCTGACTTGTCCGGATGTTCTAATCGTAGATGCCGGTGATGTTCTTTCAACCTGGTGTCC